AAAATGACACTACATGACTGACCAACAGAAGCAAAAAAGAAGTCACGGGTGCGAAACCAACGAGAATGAAAACAAGAAAATAAGGTAGAAAAAGTTTAAACTGATAAAAACAGTGTTGAAGATTTGCTGGGACACGGAGAGTCCTAACGCAAGTATCTTTCAAATTTGTGAAATTGAATTATGTTATATTTATAATAACTGTTAAGGGTGTGGCTGAATGGGCTCCTATATAAAAATAAAAAACGCTTAGTGACAGACACACATCTTGGCACATCTTGGTCAGCCCGGTTGAAGTGATTTAGTGCTTTAGCTTGAGGGAACATAGTGTACGGGAATGTGCTATGGATTATGTGGACCAAGAATTGTAATCAAGGTAATTTTGGAAAGAAGAATTATATAATTAAATAATTATAGATTTGATTTTCAAGTTTTAAGAATGATATAATTGAATACATATAGATTTGACTTAGTTTAGTTTAGAAAGTAAGGAATTAATGAATTACTTTTAAGAGATCTCTGCTCTATGGAAGTGTAATTTAACAGTGATGAAGTTCATTAATTTCCAGTGGAGCGTAAGAATATTTTTGTGTTTGTTAAGTATTTTCTTGAATAAGTTTTTGCTTGATTTACTGAGTCACTACCTAACGAGATTAATTTAGCATTATAATTGCTTATATAAAGTATTAAGTATAAAATATTTTTCAGTCCATTTTTCGATATGTGATTATTAACTTTTTAATGAAGATAATCTTAAGTTACCTTAGAAATTGTGTAAGGACATTAACTTAGCATTTTGATTGTTTGGTTTAAGTAGTTAATCTATAATTTTCACTATTTTTTTAATGCAATTTATTTATCAATAACAGAAACAATTATTTTTATGAGTTCAGTCATGAAAAAAAAGGAATTCTTTTACTTATTGCTTATAATCATTCTAGGTATTGATATTGTTTGCTCTAATTTCACAATTGATAACAGCTTGCTTAAATTGAAATGATATTGTTATCTGCATGTTAACATTTAGAGTAAAGTGGGAAGCTACTTGTTAAAATTAAAAGAGGGCTATTCAAGGTGGTATAGACATTGTATTGGATTATAATGAACTCAGATATATTATTGGCATAAAAAAATATGTGGTTCGCTTTGCATTTTTGCTATATAACATTTTCAATTAATAAATAATGTGTAAATTTTCTAAAATGTTGTTAACTTTTCCTTGCATTTATCGTAACTAATAGATACGAGTTTGATAAGTTAAATCTGTGAGAGAAATATAACTAATATAAACTATAAAGAGTATATCACACTGAGAAGATAATATATATATAAATGACGAAAAAGGAGCAACAACAGTTGTCTTTGCACAGTTTAGTATATTCTATTTTCTCTCAGAACAAATGACTACACCAAATTCACTCAATTATTGATAAGTTCGGCTGTTCCTATGATATTATTCATATTTACAGTTGCAACATGATAATTCTTTCCCTGGAAATGGTATGGATATTAGTAGTTATTTGATTACTGTTTGCGGCTACACTTACATTCTTAGAATTTACACATAATATTGTGTTTGAAAATCACTTTTTTCTTAATACCATATTAACGGTTCTGCTTTCTATAAGTATACACCAAAGTTAATTTAAGCCCAGCTCATGACAGTAAACGAAAGTATATTTAGTTTATTAGATTTGTTACAATAGTTATTCTTATGTTTGGTGTGACAGGCTCTTTATTTTACTTCTAAATTACCCCCTGTGTGCAAAGAATGACCAGGGGTTACCACCTATTAGCAGTGTGGTAGTTGAAAGCTACCAGTGAACCACACAACACAACACTATTATTTTGAGAGGCTACTGAATGAAGATTTTTTTCTTCCTTTTTTTTTTTAGGGAAGGGAGGGAGAAATACCAGAGATAAAGCAAAAAGTTAGAAAAGCGTTGAGGATGAAAAAGGGGAAGGCAACGGGACCTGATGAAATACCAGCAGAAGTATGGGAAAGTTTGGGAGAGGTGAGAGTGATTGTGGTATAGGTGCTAATGAAGATTTATGATCGAGAAAAAAATGCCAGACGAGTGGCGGAGTGTATAATTGTAAAAAGACAAAGGTGATATCCAAGATTGCGAGAACTATCATTCAATGAAATTTTAGGAAAAAAATAATCACAAAAAAGTTATGGTATAAAACATAGACCAGTGAATCAACAATCGTGATTTATGCCGGATATGGGAACAATGGATACCATCTCTGATTTGAGGCATATGCTGGAGAGAGAGAGAAAGATAGAGAGAGAGAGAGAAAAAAAAATTGTATTTATAGATTAAGAAGAAATGTATGAATAATACGCTTGGTCACATTCATTTGGAATTTCCATAGAATATTATTATGTAGAATGCATATAGGAAATCCTCCTCTTAAACGTGTTCAAAGCGCCTAAAAATGAATATGATGCTCAGCATTTTCATCCATTTTCAGATACTACACTGGTTGTGTTGCTATT